CAGTTATTTTTTTTCCTTGTAACCAGTTATCATGCGTATTATATACATGAGACTCTCCTAAGACTCAGGTCACTTAAGCAAGAATAGAAGTTTGAAATGCCTTTAGGGTATTCTTCTAAATGACTTCTAATTATCCTGACAATGTGTTCTACTTAAGACTAAGAGTGTTGTCCAAGCAGATTATACAGCAAAGTCTTTATTTTGTAGGATCAGAAAGTTGGGCCAGTTCAGCTTCTTTCTACTTCCCCCACACCCTCCTTCAATGAGCTGAAGAAATAAACTATCATTATATGATATTGATCCCAGGAGGTACCACTGGGATATCAAAAAAATCTTGGCCATTATTATGGCCAATTTTTTGGTCTCAATTATCATGAGTCTTTTTGTTTGTTTGTTAGTGTAGGCACACGCTCTAGATTACCTCCTCATGAGTACCTATGTATAGACAGGGTTTTCTCGGAGAACAGCAACCATTAATTCAAGTCTCATCACTTTGGGGTCTACTATGTAACTGCTCTTTTCCTGTTTCTATTTTCTTCCCAATATTCCACCCCACCCCACCCCATGACACACACCCCTGAAAGAGCTGTAGGTCTTATTTTTTCCCTACTTCTGATTACTGGACCCAGAGCTAGAAGAAGAGAAAGTATAAGAAACATCATATTTGACTGAATTGACTCCAATCTCTTTGGTCTAGAGTTGTTTGTTTCTTTGTTTGTTTTAAAGTCTGGACTCTAGAGAGATGTGGAAGAGAAAAATCATCGTAAACCTGAAAGACATTCTTTGCAAGATTTAGAGGTTGATTATATATGGATGTATTCCCTTTGTTTTAGTTTTTGTAAATAACATCTGGGCTCTGGTTATGAGTTACATACATGCATTGTAAAAAGTTTAGACAATAAAGAAAGCAACGTAGAATATAAAAATCACATATAATCCTCCCACTCAGCTATAATACTAACATTTTTATATATAGCCCCCTAAGTCTTTTCTTATAAATACATATACACACATATATACTTTTTATTAAACAAAACTGAGATCACAGAGTATACATTGTTTTCAATCAGTTTCAGTTTTCAAAGAGTAAACATAACCAAAAATGCATTTCAGGAAAGAAAAGCCAAAAGAGCATTCCTTTTAGTCTTCTCCTCACTAATTTTATCCACCTTGTTTTCCTGGTCCTTTGCACTTCACCCTTTTTTTTATTTCCATCTAGTCCTGTTGCAACTGGTTTCCTGTGTCTATTAGACCATGTTTTCAATCAGTAAGTTCATAAAAATTTCCAAATCACAGAATGGGTAAGTATGAAGAAAGTATTCTAGGATCAAGGACTGAGAATTAATATTATTATAACTGACAGACTCAAACAGTTATTAACTATAACACATTATGCATGCTCATTCAGCTGTTGGCGACACTTACCCAAATATCAGAATTTGGCACCTTGTGGGGAAGAGACAGATTTTTGCTGAGATGGAAGCTTCAGCTTCATATGGGATCTTTTTTCTCAAGGAAATTCTGCTTTTTCTGGCCTTTATATTACTTGTTTTCCTCCTGGTTTCATCTTGGAATGGCATCTGTACATTTCTGCCTCCACAGAGTACAGCTGACACATCTAGTCTGTGGTGACAGAAATGGGGATGGTGGTTACGGGTTGCGTGTGTGCGTGTGCACACCAGCACATGTGTTACTGTTTTGACTGGACAGAGACAAGAAGTTACATGGATGTACACACGTGTATTTTTGTGCACCTTCCTGTCTGATGCTACATCTCAGTTTAAAAAGAAAAATACTGCCTCAATCTACCTTCTTGTGAGGCTGTCTGTGGTTTTGCTGGAGATCTAGTAAAGACAGAGTAAATTCCAGAGACTACAGACCGTCCATTGTCTTAGCTATAGAGCCCACTGGTCTTTTCAGGTCCTGGACCATTGCACAGAACGGCAATACCACTCCACAAAAGGAGTTTTGCAATCAGGTAAGTTTAAGAAGTGCTTCACTATCCAGTCCCCTTTGAAAGATTTATAACGCACATCGAAATATCAAAGACTCCAAGTCCTACATTTATTCCAACTCATCCTAAACTTATTTAACCATGAAACTCTTTTAATTAATACCTATTAATACCTCATTAGAATAATCAGCTTATGCTTGGAAGCCTGGTCAAGGCCTACCCACCTGCCAGTGCGCCACCTGCTGGTTTCACTGGGTGAGGTCGCTCATTCAGGAAGCTTCTGTTTTCCCGAAATCTCACTCACCATCCAGAGTTCATTGTCCTAGTAGTGCTCTTTATAAGCTTTTTCCTCTCATTGAAATACCAGGGACTGGACAACACCGCTTGCCATAACTCATTTCCAAAAGGAGGTTTTCAGTGGATGTCAGACCATACAGCACCGCATATCAGTGTCCGAGAGGAGAGAAGCGTCTGAATGAAGAACAACAAAGAATGAGTGCAAAGAGCAAAGTCTCTTAGAATTCTAGGATTTTACAGATTAAATACTATGATAATAAATTCAGTCTATTCTATTTATTTTCTAATTTGAAGTCTGACTTCTTTTTAACAGACTTGATCAGCATCTAATAGGCTGATGAACTAAGCTATAATTTCACCTAAACCCAATATGAGTAATTTCACATAAATTTTGAGGTTTCACTACCCTTGATTGGTTCTTTCTTTCTTTCCTTCTTTCTTTCTTTCTTTCTTTCTTTCTTTCTTTCTTTCTAAGACTTTATTTATTTATTTGACAGACAGAGATCACGAGTAGGCAGAGAGGCAGGCGGGGTGGGGGGGAGCAGGCTCCCTGCTGAGCAGAGAGCCCGATGAGGGGCTCGATCCCAGGACCCTGGGATCATGACCAGAGCTGAAGGCAGAGGCTTTAACCCACTGATCCACCCAGGTGCTCCTTGGTTCTTTTTAAAAAAATTAATAATAATAATGGTTATTATTATTATTTTTTGAGAGAGGGAAAAAATGCACGTGTGTGAGAGGGGGAGGGGCAAAGGGAGAGAGAGAGAGAATCTTAAGCAGACTCCACACGGAGTACAGAGCCCGATGCGGGGCTCCATCTCATGACCCTGAGATCATGACCTGAGCCAAAATCAAGAGTCAGACACCTAACCGCTGAGCCACTCAAGCGCTCCTCACTACTCTTGGTTCTTGAGGTTCTTAGAATTGTTAAAATGATATCATAATTGATTTGGGAAGAAAAAACAAAAGTAACATAAAGAACAGGAATGTGATGACAAAGTACACTTCTGCCATAATTTATTTTTTAAAGAGCTTATTTTATCACATATTTGTTTATAGACTGCCACACAACCTAAGAAGAAGATTTTAAAATGTTTTCTACAAATAATCTTTCACAATCTGTTCTATACATGTTCCTGTCTCAAAGTAATATATATTGCTAGCAGAGATTTCTCTGAAACCATAATTTTTGCTAGAACGGCTAACGGTTGAAGCATATGCACAGTTATTACCTGACACTGGGTGGGCTGAAAGGAGCTAGGCGGCTGGGTTTTTGGGGCCCTCCTTCCCTCTGCATCTCCGTCTTCTTATCTCATCTGGATTTCTCTAAGGAGTCCCAATTCCATGGGAAAAAGCAGCTGGGTCTGAAACCTCTGCCTAATTCTTCTAGGGCAAAGGTGCTTATGTTCCAAATTGCAAAGTTTTAAGGATAGAAACCCCTAATTTTAAATGCTACCAATTATTTACAAATAATTTTGTTCTCAAAGAAACATGGCCCATAGTGTGTCAGCCTCACTATAAAGGACTGTCCGACTTCAGCTCCGGGAGCCGTGTTCCCAGTATTCAAAGGTCAGGCACATTGGAATCACACAGCAATGTTCATATGCTGATTCCTGGGCTTTTACTCAGACCTCCGTAGTCTGTGAAGGCAGGACTGAAGTCTCTGCATGGTTAACACGCCCATAGGTGCTGATCCAAATTCCCTTGGAGATGGTTTTTCTTTAAATGATGATGATGGATCTCCTGGCAGAGTTGCCGATCCAGACGAGGCATGACATTTGCATTTATTTAAGAACGTTAAGAAGGTCTCAGGTTATGTGCATGAGCACAGAAGGTGGAGAACTGCTCCAGGAGCTGATGAAAGGACAAATGTTGAAAGATCTAGTCTGATTTGTCGGTGAATTGTTATTGCAGAGAAGGACAGACAAGCCAAGGACACTGATTTAGACTATTTATTAGTGAGGGACAGAGGAAATCATGAGAATGGAAGATTGAATGCTATCACCCCTCAGCCTAAAAAAGGCTCCCAGTGATATTTCAGTGACCTTAACTCTGAACCCTGGCTGTCTTTAGAATTCTCCAGGAGTCAGCTTTTAAAATACACCAGTGCCTGGGCCCTACTCCAGACCAGTTAAATCAGAATCTCCGGGGGTGGCCTGGGGGTGTGGGTGAGGTCTGAGCTTTGGCTGATTTTAACAGCTCCTGGGATGACTTCCGTGTGCAGCCGGCTCAAGGACCACCGCTCGATGACACGCGAGAAGCTATTTGAGTCACCGGCTCTTGCTGACGTCACAGACGGTTCGTTTAGCTTCCAGACTCTTGGAGCCCAGTCTTTAGAAGAAATGAATGCCTGGCACTGTTCTTTTATCGCTCGCTCCCACCTCTTAAACCAGCATCATTAGGATTCACTGTTTTATTTATAAAAGCAGTTGCTACCCGCTTTTTTTTTTTTTAAGATTTTATTTATTTATTTGACAGAGACAGAGATCACAAGTAGGCAGAGAGGCAGGCAGAGAGAGGAAGGAAAGCAGGCTCCCTGCTGAGCAGAGAGCCCGATGTGGGGCTCGATCCCAGGACCCTGAGATCATGACCCATGCTGAAGGCAGAGGCTTAACCCACTGAGCCACCCGGGTGCCCACCACCTGCTTTCTTGCCATCGTTTGTAGCCCTGTGTGGCTCAGAAAAGGACAGAAACTTACATACCTTACACATTTTCTAGTTAAAGTTTGGGGGGTAGGGGTGGGGGCCTTGTATTTGTGGAATTCAGTGATCTGTTGCTTGGCAACTTCAAGAGAGTTAAGCTTCTGCATTCCGCCAGAGTCAGAATTACAAAGTTTGGTGAGCCCCGTCAATTACCTCTTGCGACCAAAAGGAAATTAATTGTCCATCATGCAGAGGGCTTGAGAAGCTGGCACCCAGAGCCATGTCACACTTCTTCTACTTGACTCCACAAATCGTTCTGCCCTTTAGCCCTCTCAGCTCTCGAGAGTTCAATCTGATCAGACGCAAGGCTGGAGCGTCTTGGCAGAAGGAAACGAGGTGGTCGGACTCTTCCATAACAACATACACAGGCAGTTACCAGAAAAAACAACTGGATGAGTCCGCCAGCAGCCGATTTTCTTTTAAAGCAGGACGGCATCGGCCTGAGTGTAACCAGTAAGATCTTTGTAATCTGCACCTGGATATGTCACTATAAATAGACAAGAATGCTCTCAGGAGGAATAGGGTATTGTAGACCCTGAGAGACTTCATAGACTTTAACTCTGTATATTTTCCTGTGTAAATGTCAGCGGGAAGAAGAGCTAAATGTCAGTTACCAGCTGAAATTATGATTATATTCTCTAAGTCCTAACATTCTATATAACTACCTACTCTTGAAAATATAAAAATGTGAGTATTTTATTAAATTGTAGGTATTTTGTATCCTCTCCTTGGCAAAGAGCTGCGTCTGAGAATTTCTCCTTCATTTTTGGTCTAGTTTTTCCACTTTCAGAAGTTGAAAAATTCCCTCAGAGCAGGAAGAAAGTGGACTAAATCCTTCTCATTCCTTACCTTGTATTGTCCGTCAGTAAAGGCAAATGGTGAGGGCCTGAAAGACATTTTCTGAGTGTTCACTTTAATCTAAGTCTTATGATAGGCTCACAGAAAAGATTAATTTGTTTAATATGGTACCTGAAACTATAGAAATAAGGAGTCGCAAAGAAAGGAGATTTTATCAGTGTCTGTGGTGGGAGAAGGGATATTGTGTTTCTGGAAAGATCTCAGTAAAGCAGGTTTCCTCTGAGTTGGCTTAGGTAGGGAAAGGAAGAGCATCGTGCATGGACAGGAGAATATGCACAAAGGCAAAAAGAGTTTAATCCCAAACATTATTAGAGAACCACAAATAGCCCAGTGAAAGCATCAGTAGACGTGTGGAAAAATATGGAAAAATATGAGGACTTGTTATGAAATATGTCCCTCTGGATATTAATTGTCCAAATTCTGGAAATTCATTTGAAAATCAATTGGGTTTTTGACTCCAACTTGAGATGTGAGTAATAACTCAAATAGTGCCCTAATAATTATTAATTATATTGCCTTCCTGGTCTTTCCAAATCATCAAAACTGTGCTTAAAGCTGAAATGTCTCAGAATGACTTTTCTATTGCATGCCTTGTCGAGTTTATTCCAACAAACCATAGTCTGCATTTTTAATGGCTCTCAAGTATGTTGACATTTCAATTAATGTTGGAACTCCCTTTGCTAATTCTGTGAATTTTGAGGTATCTTTTGGCCAATTAGGGGGAATCTTTCAGCATAGCCAGGGTCCTCTCTGAAAATAGTGTTCGAAATCTGGTATCCAAACAGACCCACTCACCAGAGTAGAAAAAAATATGTTATCACTCAAAAAGTGCAGAAATATGGCAGCTGGTGAAAATGCTCAGAACTCTGAATTTGTGTCTTGTTCAGACTGTGATCGTTACATGCATGCTTCCAACCAGTGCCCCCTGTGACACTGCAAACCACAGGAGACCCCAAGCTTGCGAGGTCTGTTTTTTGGGACCTCAGAAATGTAAATATAATCTTGGCACAACTACAACTTATTCTATTATAGGGTAAGAAGCCAGTCAGTGTCATAAATGAAGATGAAGGGCAGATTTAGCTCATTTTAAAAACACTGATTATATTCTAAATTTGCTTTTGTTTTTAATCTTTGTCTTGGTTAATTTTAGCCCTAAGGCAAATGTCTTAAGTTCTGAACAAAAACTGTTTGATTAAAATTTTGTAAGGCTATAAGCAGACATTTTCACACTGCTATAAAATCAAAGTGGCCCAAGGGGGATTATCAAGTAAAATATAAAATTACTGATTATTTAAAATGTGTTAAGTTGGAAAACATTAATGTGTATAAAACACAATACATTTTATTCACCTTATCTATTCACCACATACTCTGAATACCCAGATAGTGCAAAACAGAAGAAATCTGGGAGAAGTCTTAATCATTTGGCTCTGGGTCAGTTTTAACAGCAAATATGTAAAATTCATCAACATGAAAAAGAAGGATCCTGCACTGGGAGAATGGAGATTAATGCAGTACAGAACTTAGACTGTCAGTATCAATCCCACTTATCTGCCAAACTTAAAATAAGAGCTGCATTTTGACATCTGAAACTAATGTAACATTGTATGTCAACTCTGCTTCAATCAGGAAGAAAAAAAAAAAAAAAAAAGAGGGACACCTGGGTGGCTTAGTTGGTTAAGCATCTGCCTTTGGCTCAGGTCATGATCTCAGGGTCCTGGGATCGAGTTCCACATCGGGCCACCTGCTCAGCGGCAAGCCTGCTTCTCCCTCTCCCATTCCCCCTGCTTATGTTCCCTCTCTCACTGTCTCTCTCTCTCTCTCTCTCTCTGTATAAATAAATAAATAAATAAATCTTTAAAAAAAAAAAAAAAGGAGTGGCACTTTGGAATTTCCAAGACAGGAATATGGCTCAGTATAAAGTTTTAAGTCTTGATGCTTTATTTATTAAATTATTTTCATTTATCCACTAATCATATATTTATTAAGATCCCACTACATAAGGTCTTTTAGGATAGGTGCTGGGGCTACATCAGTGATGGAAGCATCTATATGGCCCTCGTCTTCATGGAGCGTATAGTCTGGTGAGGGAGACAGTCCCCAGGGAAACAAGCCATTTGTGTTTAAAGGAAACAAATTGGGAACCTCAATAGAAACAAAGAGGAGTGGCACTTTCTTACAAAGCTAAACATAGTCTTACTAGTGATCTAGCAGTGTGTTCCTAGATATTTACCTATAACTGATTTGCAAACCTAGATCAACATGAAAACCTGCACATGAATGTCAACACTGTTTTATTCATTATTGCCCCAAAGTAGAAGGAAAAAAAAATGTCCTTCAATAGGTGAATAAATTAAAAAAAACAAACAAACCTGTGTCACATCCATGTAGTGGGATATTATTCAGCAATAAAAGGAAATGAGGCATTAAGCCACAAAGGACAAGGATGGATCTTTTTTTTTTTTTAAGTAGGCTCCATGCCTAATGTGGGGATCCAACTCGTGGCCCTGAGATCAGGAGTCCGATGTTCCATTGACTGAGCCAACCAGGAGCTGCCCCCACACTTTCTTTCTATAAGTAAAGACATGGGTGAATCTTAGCTCCCTAGCCCCAACTGAAAGAAGCTGGTCAGACCATCAAGTATTGCATATTCAACTATATGATAATTTAGAAAAGCAAAACTAAGACAGTAAATGGATCAGCGGTTGACAGGGGATGGGAGAGGGCTGAGTAGGTGAAGAACAAGGATTTTTTAAGCCAGTGAAACTATTCTGTATGATACACTAAGTTTTTGTGAAAACCCGTAGTACTTTACAGAACAAAGAGTCAAATTTAATATATATAAATTTAAAGAAATTATTTAGGAGATGAGAGGGTTCCCAGGATAGCACATAAAAGGCGACAAAGGAATATAAATGTGTATTATAAAAGTAGGAATCAAGCTCACCGAAGGAATAAAGTGCTGATCTAAGTAACTTTAGAAATGAGTGCAGACTGTAAGACTAAAACTAGAGTGACAGCCCATAACCACTGAACTCTGGTTGATAAAGTTGTTTCCCAGGGGGGACAGGTAACAATTCTGAAACCACTGTACATGTACTGGAATGGAACAATTAAGTAGACAGATGGTAGATGATGGGGGCGAGGCTGTTGTTGGGAGTGGGAGGTTAATGATAAACAGAGAAGGGGTAAGAGTGATCCGTGTGGTAATGGATTAGAATTGAATGCATCAGCATTCATGCAGAACTCATGCATAGCTTAATATAAATATAGATGGCTATGTAAAGAAACATTTAACGGTTTGTGTATATACACAGGTTAGTATGGACACAGGTACTTCCTTACTCTTTGGAGCAAAGTCCCTACCTGCAGCCCATATCAGCATGGGCCATCAGCTGAGAGGGTCCAGGAGCAACACTTGGTAACAGCAAGCACACCGAGTACCCAGATTTTGGCTTCTAGTGCTATTCTCCAGTAACAGCACCAGAGTTTCTAGGAGAAATCCTGATTCTCAGACTGGAGGAGGAGATACACAAGATGAATTTGGAGTAACTTATAGTGCCAGAACGTAAGAAAGTATCCATCAAAACAAAATGAAACAACAACAACAACAAAAACAATGATGGAAGCATCTGAAAGAGCTCCCAATGACTGAAGCTGGAAATTTGTGCAACAAAAAAAGTAGTATTGGCCCAAAGTATAAAATAACCACAAGTTCATAGTGTTATAAATGAATGATTGAATAAATTCATTAATGAGGGGAAAAGGACACATTTCTCATGCAAAACATTTTCATAATTCATGCAGCTACACTATGCTGAAAGAGGTGGAGAATAACTCATGACCACTTAGGTGCGAGCTGTGCATAGTGACTTTCTTCCACTGAATACAGAAAGTGAAAAGGGGGGAAGCCGGACAAATACTACTTCAAGCCAGCCGACCAAGTTTAATTCATAGCAACAATGATAATTCATACTGATAGTCTTTAACCTTGGTATGAAATAGTACTTTACCTCTGTGGCTTTCTCCCTCAAAATAATTACCCTCAACTAATCATGAGAAAAACATTAGATAACTCCCAATAGAAAGACATTCTACAAAATACCTGACCAGTAATCCTCAACATTGTCAAGGTCATCAAACCAAGGAGTCCGAGAGACTGTCACTAGTAGGACCAACCTAAGAAGACATGATGACTAAATGTAATGTCATATCCTAGATGGGATCCTGGAACAGAGAAAGGACATTAGGGAAAATACTGAGGACATCTGAATAAGTATGGACTCTCGTTAATAATGTGTCGATAGACAATGGAATATTATGCCTCCATCAGAAAGGATGAATACCCAACTTTTGTATCAACGTGGACGGGACCAGAGGAGATTATGCTGAGTGAAATAAGTCAAGCAGAGAGAGTCTCACTTACTTGTGGAGCATAAGGAATAACACAGAGGACATTGAGAGAAGGAGAGGAGAAGGGTGTTGGGGGATATCGGAGGGGGAGACAAACCATGAGAGACTGTGGACTCTGAGAAACAAACTGAGGGTTTTGGAGGGAAGGAGAGTGGGGGGTTGGGTGACCCTGGTGGTGGGTATTACAGAGGGCACGTATTACATGGAGCACTGGGTGTGGTACATAAACAATGATTTCTGGAACACGGAAAAAAATAAAATTTTAAAAAATAATGTGTCAATATTGGTTCATTAATTATTACAAATATATGATTCTAATGTATGATGCTAATAATAGGGGTAACTGGGTGGGGAGTATATGAGAACTCTCTGTATTATCTTCACAATAATTTTGTTAATCTAAAAGTGATTACAAGTTAAATTTTTATTTAAGAAGGGTAACACCGGAGGAGTTCAAAGGAGGAATAAGCAAATACACAATCATAATTGAACACTTTTTTTTTAAAGATTTTATTTATTTATTTAACAGATAGAGATCACAAGTAGGGCAGAGAAGCAGGCAGAGAGGGAGGAGGAGGCAGGCTCCCTGCTGAGCAGAGAGCCCAATGTAGGGCTCGATCCCAGAACCCTGAGATCATGACCTGAACTGAAGGCAGAGGCTTAACCCACTGAACCACCCAGGCACCCCATAATTGGACACTTTAAGTCACTTCTCTCGATAACTGGTGGAACAACCAAGTAATCAGCAAGAACACACCAAATCTGAACATGATCAAGACACTTGTCCTGTGTGACACATCTAGAGTCATGAACCCACGAACCGAAGAATATACATTCTTTTCAAGAGCATGTGGAACATTTTCAAGGACTGACCTTAGGTCTTTAGGAAAATCATTTGCTTTCCAAATACTTCGGGATTATTCTGCAAGGCCCAGTCAGAATTACCACAGTGTTTATCTTGGGGGGGCTTGTATCCCTCCTGAGCAAAAGTGAGGCCACATGGGAGTCCAAGGTTGAGATTGGGAAGCAAGCATTGACCTAGGGTGTCCTTATAGAGACAAATCCCTTTATGAAAAAGCAGCAGCACATTGGACCATGCTTCTGAATGAAGAGGCACGGAGCCAGGCCTTCCTGAAAGCCACAAGACAAATAGGGAGGATTCGTTTGTTCTAGCAGCCATATAAAACTAATACAGGTGGAACAGAGAGGAGACGTGTTTCTATAACGAAGGGATGTGTAAATGAGTTTTATAAAGGATAACAATACGGACGTTTCATAATTGTCTAAATTAAAACAGGAAAGAAAATTAGTGTCTAAAACTAAAAGTAACAGTTTTAAAATGATTTTTTTTTAAAAATGCCACTTATATTGTTAAAGTATGTCAAATTTCTAAGAATAAATGTAATCAAAGATGTGCAAGATCTCCACACCGAAAACCATAAAACATTACTGAGAGAAAATAAAGATGATCTAAGTAAATGGAGAGATAAACCATGTTCTTGGATTGGATGACTGAAAGTTATAAAAATGTTCTTGCTTCACAAATTGATCTATAGATTCAATGCAATTCCAATAGGTGTTTTTGTGGAACTTGGCAAGATGATTCAAGGCCAGGAAATAGCCAGGACACTCTCAAAAGAGAACAAGGTTAGAGGGATTTTTACAGATAACAAAACTTACTATAGAGCTTCAGTAATTAAAGCAAGATGGCATTATAGCACAAGGATAGAAAATAGATCGATGTAACAGAATAAGGAGCCCAGAAAAAGACCTGGGCATATATGGACATTTATTTATGAAGAAGGTGGCAGAACAGTAGAGAAAATCTATGTTTTCAATTCTAGGTAGATTAATTCCAAATGAATTAATGATCTAAGCATGAAAGGCTGAACAATAACCATTAGACAAAGCCATTAGATGACAGAGGATTTCATGATGATCTTGAGATTGGCAAAGATTTCTTCAACAGAACACAGAAAGCACTAAGCACAAAGAAGTAGTTAGATAAATTGAACTACCTTAAAATTAAGAAGTTCTGGGAACAAAATACACCACAAAATATGGATGTGGAGCCTACTTGAAAAAAAAAAAAAGAAAGGAAAGAAAACCAGTTTGATCTCCTCATCTAAAGTTGATGCTACGGGTACCCTAAAACTTAGCAATTCCACTCAATTCCACTTCTAAGTGTATACACAGCTGAAATGCAGTTCACATGTGCACCAAGAGACATGTATGTGCAAATATGTTTCTAGCAGCATTTTTCATAATGGTAAAAGCTAAAAGGCTAAAAGGTAGAATTAGCACTATAGAGCAGAATGGACAGACAGCGGTATGTTCACACAATGTCAATGAATATGAACAAATGAATATATGCCCAAATTATAGTGTTTGGGTATGTCTGCTTAGGTGAAAAAATGTATAAAGAGAAGCAAAGATGATAGATGATGAAGTCAGTAAACTGGTCCACTGCCTACCTGTATTTGACCACCTGCCCTAAACCTATTGAAAATTAATTACTGGGAACAGGCTCAGAAATCTGCATTTTAAAATTAATACCCTCTGTTGACTCATCTGCTGTTGTAGGATGGAAAGAAAGAAGCACAGTGGGTTAGCAGCCCTCATCTCCAGGATGATTAGGGCTAGTTTGTTGGCTGAATGTATGCCTAGGAGCATTTTGAGACTCCCTAGGCTGACATCAATTCCGCTCTTCCCCTAACTCCCACACACAGTTCCAGGTCCCCAGAGCTTGGAGACCCTCTTGTCCCCCTAATCAGGGGCCAGAAACAATATGCTACATGCCGGGAACTGAGGACTGTCCATTCCATACAAAATAACTGTGCTTCCCACCAAGACCCTCCTTGCCTTAAAAAAGTATTGTATCTGGATTCGGGGAAATAGAGATAGAGATGTGTTTCGAAGGATAGACATAGCATCTGTAAGTTCCTGAATTACTCCTCTGCTATTCAGTTCAACACTTTCTTGGGAAATCAGCACACTGGCTGTGATATTTCCTGTTCCATTCATAGCACTTTGCTTATTCTGAAAACAACTCCCTGGAGAAAGACTCACAAATCCTGCTAAAACAATTATGAACTTAATGTTTGAGCTTTTCATGTATAAAAACTGAACACTTTACCCTTTTATGACAAAATGGAACAAACAAATCACTAAGGATGATGAGAAAGTCCAAGTCGGGTTGATTTAATGGGAGTTGGAGGTTATGGCTTGGGAGCATGGAAAGAGGACAGGAGAGGAAGCAAAAGTTTTACAAAGTCAAATGAGAAGGTGAGTGTAAAGCCCTCCACATCCATAGGCTGTGGCTTCTAGACCCAGAAACTCATAATGTGTTTCTTCTACTTGTTTCAGGATATCATCACCAAATTCTGCCTCAGTCCCACGGTCTGCAGGGCTGGCTCCCGGGAGACTACAGATGTGAAGAGTGAGTACAACAGTCCATCGTGAGCACAGCCTTTTTGCCAGGGTTGCTGTATTTGTAACTTGTAGGTTCTTTTTTTTTTTTTTAAGGTTTTATTTATTTATTTGACAGACAGAGATCACAAGTAGGCAGAGACACAGGCAGAGAGAGAGAGGAGGAAGCAGGCTTCCCGCTGAGCAGAGAGCCCGATGCGGGGCTTGATCCCAGGACCCTGGGATCATGACCTGAGACGAAGGCAGAGGCCCATAATTTGTAGGTTCTTAACTGTAGTCTTTCCGTTTCAATTTGCCTAGTAAAGGCAAGATGTCTTTAGCAAGACAACGAGTATGTTGCCCTCTGGATCTGTCACTCTTAAAAAAATGAATTATTCCAGGGCCAAAATGTCTTTGTCCATATGAGTCTCAGAATGTTACTTCTGCCAGAGTTTGGAGCTTTAGGTAATGTCATCTGACCTTTACTGGGTACATCCAAAAATGAAGACGAGAAACCAAAGCTATAAACCACCACCTAGGAAACTATATTTACTAACCTACAACCACCTCCACCCTGTTTTAGTTAAATTAGAATAACATTAGCTGCTATAATACACATCTCAAATTCTAGTTGCTTAACACAATAAAAGTTCATTTTTTTCTTCCCATAAAGGCCATGGTGGGGGTTTTGGGGACAGACTTTCTACATGATGATTCAGGGACACAGATGCCCTTTATCTTGGGGTTCCGCCATCCCCTGGTGTGTCAGAGTCCTTTGTTTTCACCAGGATGAAGGGTAGGGAAGGCACACCTGCTTTCTTACCACTTCAGCCTGGAAATGACACACAGCTCTCGTGCTCACATTCCAACGGCACAAATAGCCACAAGGCTCCACCGAGATTCCAGAGAGTTCAGAAGTGGGTTACTGGACTGGGCAGCCACTTCCTGGTAACAACGGTGTACTATGGAAAGGAACAACTGGTCAACCACCACACATGCTGCTTTTGAGGAAGAAACACGATAGATTTTTCCCATATAACTTCTACCTCTCAGGGTTCCATCTTTGAAGGTTTAATAAGACTCATGATTGAAATCTCAAATTAGGACTTTTTAGCACTTTATAAAATATTCTGGTCATTGGTTTTGCTGTTCTATTTAAAGATTTAACATTCAGGCATGTGTTGCGGGGAGAAGGGATGGTAAAATGAAGTATTCTGCAGCCTTATGGGGTTTTCCTAAATAATGGAAATAAAAGTTTTTAATGGTCACCTGGGACAATCAGTCTTCTGCTGGCTTTCCTAGTAAAATCTGGCTTTATCGGAATAGTATATTTGAGGTGGGTTTTCTGTGCTCTTCTGTGGTTTGTTGAGGCAAGCGGACAGGGCAGCTAACCATTTGTGCAATTGTTAAAATCAGGAAAGACTTTCTTTTCTCCCCTTTGCAGTAATGAACATAAAGTTAAAACACACTGCAGAGCTGGGAGACAAGTCTGAGCTAGGGCACGGGGAATTAAACAGCCCAATCACGTCCTTCATAGTAAGTTAAGGTGACAGTGCATCTGATCTGAGTGGCACGGAGTCCAGGCCTATTGCATTTATTGATAGCTGTGCCCTTCAGAATGCTGACTAACCATGCTAATCACCAGTGGCCCTTGAGTGCCAGTAGGGAGCAGTCCCAGAGCTGGATGGGTGGAAGTTCTTGAACGGTGATAACATGAGCAGCAAAAGCAATCATTTCCTACATGATAGTATTACTATATTTTCCTACCTCCTCTCCTACTGGTATGGTATAATACTGATAGGAGGAAAGGTAGAGACAACATCAGTATATATCATGATAATGACATTTTTAAAAAATATATTATTTATTTATTTGAGAGAGAGAGATAGCAAGTGAGCAGAGCAGGAGGGAGTGGCAGAGAGAGAAACAGGCTTCCCGCAGAGCAGGGAGCCCAACATGGAACTTGATCCCAGGACCTGAGCTGAAGGCAACCACCCAACTGACTGCACCACCCAGGCGCTCCCATGGTGATGATTTCTTAAGGGACTTAGCCCATGTTGCCTTTTTCACTCTCCTCCCACGGTCATTTTAACTTAACTGACAACTCCTCTCTACGTCAAGGTAGAGTTACTTAACTTGGCCGAGCAATAACTTCTTGTTATAACTTCTTCTTGTATTTCTTCTCAATTTCCATGCTTAATTTTTGGATTACCAAGTGTAATTGTGCCGAAAGCCCCTCACAGTGGGAGTTAAAACATGAAGTCAAGTGAATATGGGTCTGTTGATTGTCTCTTTGTAGACACATATCCCTTCGTAGATATGCAAATCAGATGGGCTGTTCTTAAGTGCGATTTATGAACATCATAGGAAATATATTCTCAAATTTTTTTTAAAGATTTAATTTATTTATTTGATAGACAGAGATCACAAGTAGGCAGCGGCAGGCAGAGAAAGAAGGGGGGAAGCAGGCTCCCCGCTGAGCAGAGAGCCCAATGCGGGGCTCGATCCCAGGACCCTGGGATCATGACCTGAGCCGAAGGCAGAGGCTTAACCCACTGAGCCACTCAGGTGCCCCTCAAATTCTTTTTCACAACTGCCTTTCAAAGAGTTCTTTGCTCTTATTTGTTCTACCTGCACTAAGGTGGTTTTCCTTTTGCATTGCCAGTAGTTTTCTTTCCAAGTGTTTGATTCGGTTATGGCTTTCCCTATGGTCCATTACATACTTGTCTCTCATGTTCAAAGAAGAACAAGGTGATAGCTACTGGAAGTTAAAACCTTTTTTTTTTCTTATTGAAGTAAAATTGGCATATAATTGGAGTGTAAGTTTCAGGTGTACAACATTATAATTCGATATATTTGTGTATACTACAACGAGATCACCGCCATATGCCTAGTTATCTCTTATCACCATACAGTTGAGCTCCTTTATTCATTTTAACCACCCCCATTTCCCTTCCTCTCTGGTAACCACCAATCTATTCTCTGTATCTATGAGTTGTTTTTTTTTTAAAGATTTTATTTATTTACTTATTTGTCAGGGAGAGAGAGAGAGTGAGTGAGTGAGTGAGTGCAGGCAGGCAGAGGGGCAGCAGAGGAAGAGAGAGAAGCAGGCTCCCTGCTGAGCAAGGAGCCCGATGCGGAACTCGATCCCAGGACCCTGGGATCATGACCTGAGCCGAAGGCAGCTGCTTAACCAACTGAGCCACCCAGGCATCCCGAGTTTGTTTTTGTTTTGCTTTGTCTGTTTTGTTTTTTAGATTCCACACAGAGGTGAAATCATATGGTATTTGGTTTTCTCCATTTGACTTATTTCACTTAGCATCCATGTTGTCACAAATGGCAAGATTTCACTGTCTTTTATGGCTGAGTAGTATCCACTATATCTTAGTATTCACTATATCCACATCTTCTTTATCCACTCAATGGGTAATCAATCAATGGATGCTTAGGTCTTTTCCATATCTTGGCTATTATAAATGCTGCTGCAATGGACATAGGTGTGCATAAATCTTTTCAAATTTGTGTTTTCATTGTTCTTCAGATAAATACCCAGAAGTGGAATTGCTGGATCATGTGGTCGTGCTATTTTTAATTTTTTGAAGAATATCCATCCTGGTTTCCATAGTGGCTGCACCAATTTACATTCCCACTAACAGTCCACAAGTGTTGCTTTTCTCTACATCCTTGCCAATACTTGTAATTCTGTCTTTTTGATCATGACCATTCTAATAGGTATGAGGTGATATATCATTGCGGTTTTGCTCTGCATTTCCCTGATTAGTGTGATGTTGAGCATCTTTTCATGTACATGTTGGTTATCTGTATGTCTTCATTGGAAAATGTCTATTCAAATTCTCTGCCCATTTTTTTTTAAATGATGTACCAGAGCTAAGGCAATTTTTTTTTTAGATTTTTTTTTTTTTTTTTTGACAGACCACAAGTAGGCAGAGAGGCAGGCAGAGAGAGACAGGAGGAGGAGGCAGGCTCCCTGCTGAGCAGAGAGCCTGATGCGGGACTCGATCCCAGGACCCTGAGATCATGACCTGAGCCGAAGGCAGAGGCTTTAACCACTGAGCCACCCAGGCACCCCTCTGCCCATTTTTTAATTGAGTGAGTTTTGTTGTTTGAGTTTGTTGTTTGTTGTTAAGTTGCATGAGTTCTTTATGTCTTTTGGATATTGATTGGTTGTTGGATATATCATTTGCAAATATATTCTCCCATTTAGGAGGCCGCCTTTTTGTTTTGTTGATGGTTTCCTTCACTGTGTAGAGGCTTTTAAGTTTGATGTGGTCCCATTTGTTTATTTTTGCCTTTGCTTCTCTTGCCTTTAGAATCAGATCCAAAAAGCATCACTAGGACCAATGTCAAGGAGCATACCACCTATGTTTTCACCTAGGAGTTTTATGACTTCAGGTTCTACATTCAAGTCCTTAATCCATTGTGAAGTAATTTTTTTGTATGGTGTAAGATAGTGGTCTAGTTTTATTCTCTTGTGTGTGGTTGCCCAGTTTTTCCAACAACGTTTATTGAAGAGATTGTCCTTTTTCCTCTTGGCTTCTTTGTTATAAACTAATCATCTATTTTGTGTGGGCTTATTTCTGGGCTCAACAAATAAAGATCAGACATTATAAAACTGCAGTACAACAAACAGAAATGGTTAAACAATTCAACTTTCTCTCCATTTACATTCTAAGGCAGATACTAGCAATTTTTTTTTTAATTAAAGCTCCTCTCCAGCGGAAGCAATTTATTCTGTGGTGGAATACAGACAATAAGGCAGCACTCACCAGCTCTCTCTTTACCTTCTCTTATTCTTAGCACCACACCTGTGTCCCACCCCTGCATCTCTTTAGGATGTGCCCAAGTTCTCTTGCAAAAGGGTACACTGGCCTCTTTGATTCTTGCCATTCTGGGAGATATAATAATATGACCCAGATGTGACATGTGTGAAATCTCCTTGGGATATTCCCTTGACCACAGATAACAAATTCCAAGTCCCTGAAGTAGCTCTCTGAACAAGAACTGTTTGTA